TAATCATGATTTAAATTCCAAGAATTATTGTTCAAACATTGTATATGCGCATATAATGGCAAAAACACATAAACTCCTTTATGCCTTGACTATCATCGCAATCCTCTTTGCCTTCTTCGGACAATCAGCTCACTGTGTGCAAACCTTCTAATTTCTAGTATTGAAATATACCGTTGTTTGAACACATATATGTGTCGTATATGTTCTTTCTCTCTCTTTCTCTAATTTATACTCAGATCTCTCTCTAAAATATCCCAGAGTGGCACATTACTAGATTGCGTTATTTTTGGACAGACAAATTCAGGATATGTTTACGTTGTCTTGAACAAGTAACAAAAATAAAGGGCCTTTTTTTTTCCAAAAAATATATATGTATACATATATATATATATATATATATTCGAGTTAAATGAAGATTTAGGTAAAAGTAAATAATATGTGTCGCCAATGTTTTTTTTTTTTTTTTTTAATTTTAACCATATAGTCAAATCTTAAAGTTTCTTATCATTGCATTGAAATCGTAAAGGGTCTTAGAACTATTAGTATTATAATAGTTTGGTTCCTACAATTTTTTTTTTAACCGATTAGTCTTTGATCTTAGTTTTGGTCTTTGGTTATTAAACTAAAGATCGATTTTTAAAATTTAATGGAGTTAATCACCCGCTCTTTGACTGAGTAACTTGAACTTTTACAAAATAGTTACAAAAGATTCAAATTGTTAACTTTAATGTACCTAAAAACTCTTGAAAATTATAATATTTTATGCATCATCTTACTATATTTTGTAAAATTTGAAGTTTTTACATGACAAACACGTGCTCATATCTCTAAAGTTTCAAATTAAATCCATTTCGTGATTATATCTCTTAAGTTTCAAATTAAATCCATTTATTCGTTCTGGTTCAAGAATATAATTTAGGAGCTAATAGACCAAAACAAGTTAAAGAATGAAACTATCACTTATTGCTTGTCCTTTGAATTTGAACTATTAAGTAACCGATATGAATTCCGATAAATTAGGTTCTTTATATCTTAAAAAAGAAAGTATGTCTATGTGTGGAAGCATTACAATTTTCTTTCTATTTTAATTTTGTAAATACCGATAAAATATTTGCGGCGAGACCCTTGCTCAGTAGAAACCCTAGTCTTTATTTTACTCCACGTATATCCAAAGATCAATTAGACAATAATTTCTTTATTTAAAAAAAAAAAAAAAAACTCCATCCAGAAATAATGTAACTCCATTAGTCTTTGACGGTTTTCAATTTGCCAGAGTGACTATTCAACAAAGTGAAATTAATAAAATAACTTTTTCATTTTTATGAAAAATGATTAGGTGGTGGTTCTTGGTAAAAAGTGATCGTTTCTGATCGTTACGGAGTTGTTTTACAAATAAAAATTTTAAAACGTTATTTCACTAATAAACCTTTTTCATTGAGTTGAGTGATTATCCAACAAAACGAAATTGATAAATTAACTTTTTTCATTTTTATAAAGAACGATTAGGTGGTGGTTCTTAATAAAAAGTAATCGTTTCTGATCATTCCGGAGTCATTTTACAAATAAAAGTTTTTGAGATGTTATTTTACTAATAAACGTTTTCTATTGAGTTTGGAAAAAAAAAAAGTAAAACAAAAGAAAAGAAAAAAGGACTTTATGATATGGAACGTATGAAAGAGATCTAAAATCTATCTGCTTTAAATATCTTTGAATAGTAATTCATCAATGGTAAACTCATTCGCATTTTTTATACTTTACGTATACGTATTTATTAAACTTTGTTTTGTTGTGGATGGTAGAACCAATGAGATATGATGGGACGCGATGTCAAGATAACATAACTTGTGACAAGAGATGCAAAAGCTTTTATCCATCATCCTCTGGGGGTTTATATGTAAAAGTCCCGCCTACTTTAATTTGGGGCGTATGTTTTTGCTATAGTAAATAAATATACAAGAATTGGTGTTTGTGTTTTTATGCATGTATTATATGTTGTCAAATAAAATTGCATGTCAAACAATATAAATATACATGTATATATAAGGCTGTTCACGAGTTAAGGGGACACTTCCCTATTCTAAAGGTTGTAAGCTTATTATATGGACTTCTAATATTGTTAGGCCTCATATTTCTATAGCCTAATATACTAATATACTATATTTTTGTTGGAAAATGAAAATTAGCGAAATTAAATTGTTGAAGACCTACATTAGTCGTTGATGATCTTGAACCAAATAGATAAAGGGACGGTTTAACATTATTGTGCTGTTAAATTTTTTTATTATGATTGTGCTATTAGTTCAGAAGCTGATATAATCGGAAACATATAGGTTTTTAGCAAATTTTTTGTTAAAACTATTATAAATATCATAAGTAAAAATTTAATGTTTGATAAACTATGTATAAAATTGTTGTGAAAATATATGATGATTAAAATAAACATATTTTAGTACAAATATTTATAGTTAGTTTCATTCTATTTTTATGGTCAATATGTATGCTATTTTTACACTAAAATACTCAAAAATATAATTTTAATTTTATTATTTGAAATATTTTTAAAAAACAAATAAGGAAAATTATTCATCTTCTAAAATTTTTTATTTTTTATTTGTTATTTTTAAAATTTTTAATTATTATTAAAAATATTTGTGTATAATTTAGCATTATATGTTTAATAAATAATTTAGATTGTTAATAACTATTAAATTTATATTTTTAATTTGGTATAAAAAATAAAATGGATAGATTGGGAATTATGCTTTATCATTAATGTTAATTTAGTAAACTTGAACAATGACATCAAAAGTTGTTGTGCAAAAATAACCTTGACCTACTTCTCAAATTCTGTTTTTTGATAATAGTTCTTAGAAGCTGCTTGTAAAAAACAGGATTTAACAAAAATACCTCAACGTGCTATAGCTTCTTAAAAAAAAAAAGTAATATCTAAAAGCAATGCCAAACGAGCTCAAACAATGTTCTATATCAGTATAATATTAGGCTCCACATCTTTTAAAATTATTCACGTTGACAAATTTACAGCACAAAAAATTGGAGTTGCATAATCAAGATGAGTCAGGTGTAGTCTCAGTACTTATCTATCTTGTGAACTACATGTCATCAACTAATTTAATTTCGTTTAGGGATTGATAAACAATGAATAACTGCTAATTCAAACTTTAAACTTTAAATTAAAACTGATACCAAAATACATGATATTAAAAAAAGGGATGTTGAGGAGTGAATTGGGTGTAAAAACCAATATTTTAAACAATTTTTATAGTGCAAGGTTTGGCGTCACAGTCCAAGATTTTTCATAATAAAAATGGTATTCATCTTCATTACTCACAAAATAGTGGGTCTTATTAAATTGAGTCTCACCTCCTCATTTAGTGAGACCCACCTCATATAAATAGCAGGGTTTTAATTCCATATGGATAAATATAAGTGCTCTTTTCATAACGGCATATGGATTTTACAGTGCCGTTACTCCATTGAGTCAAAGTCACCCTTTCAGCAAATTGAGTTGTTGTTTGTTTTTTTTTTTTTTTTGGGTCTTGAGTATTCCTATCACAACACATGCTTACAAGAACTACTCTCATTCGAGTGTCTCTCATAAACAACTAATGGCCCCGTTTACTTCGCTGATTCGAGTTTAGAATTTGAGTTTTTCTACAGTAAAAAGCTCTCACAAACAATCACATTTAACTTTTTTGCTACAGTATAAAGCTCTCACATAAAATCACATCTCAACTCGAATTCTAAACTCGAATCAGCGAAATGAACGAGGCCTAAGTTGCTTCCTCGTGTTGGGGCACTACACATTGAACACTCACTCCACTAATAATCTCAAAGGTATAACTAAAGATTACTCATCCAAGTGCCTGATTTTCTTAGTAGCAACTAGCATGTGTCACAACTTCTCTCATATGGAAGGTCCCCCATAAACGCATCCTTTGTAAGCACCCTCAATTCAATAAAACATGTCAAGCTCGACTTCCTAGATTTTCAACATTCCATCACGTACTTCACAAAAAAGTCGAGTTACTCAGGATCGGACTTTTGACACTTGTATATATTCGTTTTGATTTCTTGAGCGGAAGAAACAAAAATAGATGGTGATGAAATATCACAAATTTTTTGTGTTGTTAAAAAATGCGTAAAAGATTCTTTCTAACAAAATTTTCTCCCTCTAATATAAAGATGTTTCTCTCTCTCTCTCTTTTTTTTTTTTTTGTTATTATTGTTTATTTTTGTTTGGATAATTATAAAAAGTTTCTTCAAGGAAAGATGATTAGATAGAGTTGACACACTCACTTCAACTCAACAGAGATTGTTTTTGTTCAATTATTTTGTCTAGTCATTGATTTTAATTCATTATTGATTGGATGGTTAGGTAAGTGTTTTTTTCGTTATCCACAGTTCCACACATAACTAAAACTGTTAAAAGATTACATTTATGGAGGAAAGTACAACTCATGATAAGCTTGAAGAGTAGTATTGTGATATTTTTATATATAGAAGAAAAAGTGAGACAATCAATCTCTACTTTTTAAAGACCAAAATAAAAAATTACCAATTTAAAAAGAGCTCTACACGAGAGCAAAGCACATGTTTCTACTAGTATAAAATAAAAATGATATTTTACACATTAATCCTTGAACTTATAGTTTATGAATCTTGTTCTTTAAACTTTAAATTTTTACAATTCACACTCGATTTGTAAAATTATTGTAGTGTGCTCCATTTTACCGATAATTATGTTAAATTAACGATAAAAAAACACGTTCAATAAAAAAGTTTAACATGCCAGTTCAAACCATAAATACAAATCTCTCAATTTATCTGCTCTTAATCCCTTGAATTCAATAAAAAATCAGAGTAATATTGGTGAAAGGGGGCACATAGCAACCGTTTTGCAAGATGGAACAAAATAGGAAAGCTGTAAAGATCCTACAAAGTCAAGAAAATAAATGTGCAAAACACCGAAAATAAAAACGCGCACGCCAACGCAACAAGGCAAACGAGCTCCTTACACACACACACTCTCTCTCTCTCTCTCTCTCTCTTCCATTTAGGACTCTGAATTTGGGATTTTGGTTTCTAGGGTTTGGTTCTGGTTTCCTCTCCGTAATCTTCCTCACCACAAAACCCTCTCCTAATGGGACCAGGATTTCTCTAAATCCCTCTTCGTTTTGCTCTAGGTTTCTTCCAACCCCAATTCGAGTTCTTTAGGGTTTCGGCATCAATTATGATTGAAATACTCCCATCGCCTCTCGTCTTCTCCGTCATGTTCTTTCTCCAGAATCTACGCGTCTTCGGTCCTGGTCTCAATCCCTTGTCCTCCAACTACTGTATCGCCAATTACTCTCGCTAATTCCATCAATTTATCCTTATCATGTAATTTTCGGCCGTCTTTCGATTTTGGTCTTTTCAGCTTTTCTTGTTCTTCTTTTTCTTGCTTTGCTTTCTTTGAAGATTGATCTTCCCGTCTCTCGATTTTGCGTTCTTTAAAGATTTGGGTCTGAAGTTGAATTGAAAATTTATATATAGATATAGAGAAGAAGAAGGATTCTGATTTCCGATTATGGGACAAGAGCAAAACGAGATCGGTGAGCTTCGTCGACACTTGTCGATACGGCGCTCGTTTCGATCCTCCGGGGTCGGGAGGGATGATAGAGGTTGGACTTTGCTTCATATCGGTGCGCGAAAAGGCGATCTCAGACAGGTGAAATTTTGGCGTTTTCTTTTGTGCTTCTTTTGTTAATTTGAGCCTTGATTTTGGATATACAACAATAGTTTTAGTTGCGTAACTTCTAGTGAGTAATTTTGTTTAATTTTGTAATTAAGTCAAAAGGATGGACTTTTTGTTGAAGTTTTGTTTTAATCTTTCACTATGTTATTTCTGAAAATTCAGTTTTAAGCAAGGTCGCGAAAAGTAAAGCTTCTTGGTCTAGCTAGTTACTTTTACGGATACGTTTGACCAGCTAGTTTAGGGGGCGTTATAGTTTTGGTATTTTTGTGTGTTGCGTAGAATCTTGGCATTTCTATGGTGGTGATTGGAAAACGTGTGAGCATTATGTTTTGGCTATACCGTATGCAGAAGGAGAAATTCGATTAGGACAAGTGTCTTGTGGAACACTAAAGATACTAAATTCATAAGCTCTTTAGTCATAGTTCTTTATCTTGTAATCTCTCTTTGCTTATAGTTATTTTTTCAAAAGGCGTTAATCATGGGAGTATTTTGATAGAGGGGTGTGATTGTGGATCTTTATCATCTTATCAACTGATATGGTTTTATCTTGTAAATTACAGAGGAATTTGGTGCCTAGTTGACTTAGTGTCCCTTACGGTTTGAAAGTTTGAGTTTACTATACTTGGTGTTAACTAATGCCCGGCGTTTAACATCATGTGCATAAAAAATGTTTTGGATATTTAGGCTTCATAGTGGATTGGTGGTTTTAGTACTCAGCTGTCTTGGTTGTGTGTGAAATTGTCTTATTCTTGTGCTTTTTCAGAGATATGTTTTCTTCAACAAAGTTCATCACTCAGGAAAAAGTAAATACTAGGCTACTCTTGTTCATTCCCGTGGTTAATGTTTGCTGAAATATGTTTTTTGAACAGGTGAAGAGACTTCTTGATGAGGGAATGGACGTGAATGTGGCTGCTTGGGGCCCCAAATGTAAAGGGATAACCCCTCTCCACCTTGCTGCTGAGGGTGGCCACCTTGTAGTAATGGATGAACTGCTTGAGCGTGGTGCTAATATTGATGCTAGAACTAAGGGTGCCTGTGGCTGTGAGTGTCTTGATTATTCTTTTCTCTCTCTCTCGCCCTTTTTGTTTTGTTCTTTTTTTTTGTTTTTTTGTTTTGTTTTTTAATTAAGATTCTAAAGCTAACTCTAATTATTAATCATTTCTTCATCTGTGTCGAATCAGGGACTCCACTTCACAATGCAGCCAAAGAAAGGAGGAGAGAAGCAGTAAAGTTTCTGGTTGAGAATGGGGCGTTCTTGCCGCCGGACATAAATGATTGCAGGTTTAACCCCCCACTCCATTACTGTCCTGGCCTTGAGTGGGCTTATGAGGAACTGGAGCGTCTTCAACAGGAGAACTCATCTTCAGGGGAGACTTCTTACAGCTCTGAAAGCTGAATACTATGTTTAGAGCTTTCTCTGATTCCGTGCTTTCATGTGTGCTTGGTCTTGTTACTTTGACAATAAAGCAGACAACTTGTTCTGTGTCTGCTCTGCGTTTGCACAAATTCATTTGGTTGTCGTATGTTATAGCGAAACTTGTCATGGATTGCTGGAACTCTTGTGTAGTACTAGTCTCTTTCCTACTACAAAATCGAGGGGACAAATATATGCTATAAGTAGAAAATAATGCACAAGCACTGGACCTATCTTTTCCTTTTTCATCATGTCTGAAAATAATGCATAAGCACTGGACATATCTTTCCCTTTTCCATCATGTCTTGTATTTTCTCAATAGCCTGGCCTTTAAACAGACAACAAAGTGCAGCACAGTTCTAAACCGCTTAAAAATATATATAGCCCAGGCTTGTTTTCTAAAGTTGGAGTATGAAGGACTTGTTTGGGGCCATTTTGGAATGGTTTTCATGTTTTGACTTTTGCGATAAAGTTGTTTTGGAAATGGTTCGTGAATAGCGTTTGTTTAATATGTATTATTAAGGAAAATAGTAGAAAATAAGCCAATATGAAAAGCTTAAGAAAGTATATAGGCTAATTTTTAATTATAGAAATTAATAGACCATAACTTGTCAAGTTATGGTTCATAATCAAATAAGTTATGGATAAACTTGTTAAGTTATGGTTCATAACTAGACAAGTTATGGACAATAATTTGTCAAGTTATGGTTCATAACCAGACAAGTTATGGACGAAAACAATAATTTGGCATATTTATTAACTTATGTAAATTATTAGCCTATTAATTTTAATTCATCTCAAATTTTGGTCTATTTCTCTCTTTCTCCCTATTATTAAACTGACGCAAATGGTTTGGAAACAATTGGTCTGAACCAAAGAGTCATTCATTAATTTGATTTGAGTTTTCAATTTTAATTTGTTATAAAAAAGTTATCAAAATCGCATTTTTTTCTATAGGAAAAGTTTTACAAAAAGTTATGGCTTAATTCGAATTAAAAACTCAAAATCTTAAATTGAAAAACTGAACGGGGCTTAAGGTTCCGTTTATTTCATCGATTTGAGTTTTACTACAGTAAAAAGTTTTAAAAAATAGTCACATTTAACTTTTTTTATTACAATAAAAAGTTCTCACATAAAATCACATCTAAACTTGAATTAAAAACTCGAATCAGCGAATTAAATGGATTTTAAATTTAAACTATTGATTTGATGTTTTGAATTAAGAAATTCTCATAAATCTTATTTTACACCTTTCTTGTTCATTGTACCAAAATATAAACCTTTTTTTTTCAAAATTTTTTTTATATCAAACAAAAATGTTAAAACCATCACGAATAGGATAACGTAACATGCATGTTAGATAATTAATCGTTAATTATAATATATTAATTATTAATATAACCCAAAGGGATAGCTCCCAAGACCTCACCTTACAAGAGGGAGGTCTTGGGTAGTTGGGTTTGAATTCTCTTGGGTCCAGGTAAGAAGGTCTAATTAAGAAGATGTTTAGTATGAGGATTCGTCCCATGGTGCGAATCATGATTCGTGGCTTGTTACAATATTTTTTCTCACAAAAAATAAACGTAAATCGAAAATAGTTCTAAATCATAATTCTGAATCAGTAAACTAAACGTCCACTAAATCCTCCCTCAGGAGTTGCCAGTGCTCTAATGATTAATATATATTAATTATTAATATATATTAACAATTAATAAATATATAAACTAATTATTATTTATTGAATATATTAGTAATGAAATAATAATTAATGGTTTTATTAATTACTAGATATTAATTTATCAATGAAATAATTTATATATTACTAATTATTATTAACTAATTGTTATCAATTAAATATAAATTACGTGCCTTGCGAAAGATATATTAATTACTCACTGTGAATTTTCTAATATACTAATTAATTTTAGTTAATTACTAATAATTGATAATTAGTAGTAATTATTAAATAAAGATATTAGTAATGAATTATTTAATAGTGTTATTCAATAGATAATTAGTAATTAAATAACTAATTATTTAATTAAAAATTAATTAATGTACTATAAATTAGTAAATAGTATACTAATAAACTAACACATGAGCATTTTAATAACAGAGTGATTCCTTATATTCTAATTATTAATTATAGTTTTTAATTATTTAATATAGTAATTTATAGTATATATAAATTTATTACTAATATACTGATTTATAACAATATAGTTATTATTATATTACTAATATATTGATTTTAATTAGTTTAATAATTATTAGTTATTAATAACTTGGTATATTAATTAAAGACGATTGATTTCATGTACTCAAAACACATATTCATTAGACCAAAAAAAAACATATTTTCAAAAATAAAACCAAATACAGTTTCATTAGTTTGTGGTGTTTTCTCCCTGAGCCAACGGTTGACTACTCCACTGCTGTTAGTTTGAAGTATGTGTGTATGTGTGAGGTCTATTACAGGACTAGGATCTGGTTCACTTTGAGTCAATTTTCCGTGACTAAATGTTATAGAGCTACTTTTAAAAGATGTCCTCCCCGTTATTGGATTAGGGATGCGTTTCTAATGTCTAGTCTTGTGAGTGACACCCATTCCTATAGCTTTGATGCAATTATATATTTTAGCCCTTTAGTGACATTTTAATGAAATTGTCATATTTACCATTAAAAAACAAAAAATAAAAAACCAGTTAAATGTAATTTAAGAAGCGGTCTATTCTAAAAAAATATTTTAACTTTTTTCTCTTACTCAAAACAAAATTATTTTAAAAAACAACCAAAAACATTTTTAGAAATGGTTTTAATAGCATCCATTTATCATTTTGAAAACACTCTTATTTATTACTGTGTGCATGCCATCCTTACAGACGTTGGATCTAGATCTATCGGACGGCGATAAATGTTGTGTACCAGTACGTTAAAAAGTTAACCTACTCCAGAAACTCCCCCAAAAATAACCCCCCCATTCACTTCCCTTACGCCTCCTTCCTAGCACTGCGATTATCTCTCTCTCTCTCTCTCTCTCTCTCTCTCTCCCTCTCTCCCTCTCTCTACTGAAAAAAACCCTAGCAGTCCGTACACACTTCATGAGCATCGAAACCATGGGTATGTTACTACGATTCTCGTTTCTTTTGTGTAATTAATTTTTTTTTTTTTTTTTTGCTTATCACTGTTAATCGGAATATTGCATGTTTCCAATTTCTTGTATTATAATTATTTTTTTTTGCATCGTTCTTGTGGTAGATCTGCTGGTTTTCGATAATCGGTGGCAATATCATTTCCGAAGTCAATTTTGATTTCGATTAGTTACGATTTATCTTTTTTTTTTCTCCTTCCTTTTTGTGGAAATTTAATTAGCAATATCATTGGGGAAGTGATTTTTCACTTCGATTGATTACAATTTATCTATCTTTTTTTCAATTTTCGTGGAAAATTGATTAGCTTTAATTGTTGGTAGCTATATCGATGAAGATATTATCAAATTAGGGAAAACAGAATGATATTTTGTTTTTGTTTTGTTTTGTTTTTTGTTTTTTTTTTTTTTCTGAATTTTGAGTGATTAAGTGAACTAATTGAAAATCTTTAAATGTAGACATCGAGGCGGATATTCGATCCTTACAACTTGATTCAGCAGGTACTATTATTTTAAATTTATCTTCTTTTTTTTTTTCGCTGAATTTTTGATGCAATTATCGTCGGGTGTGTTTGTTTAAATTTGCGAGTCTTTGTGGTCTTGTTTGATTGGTATTTATTAGAGGACAATGGGATTGTTAATCCTGAAGAACCGAAGCCAGAAGAAGTTGAGGCAACTGATAGAATGGAGGCAGGTTGGTTAAATTTGTTTTGATTTAATATGTTCTATTTTTTTTTTTTTTTGTGGTTTTTGTGTTTGGGAGTGCATAATTTAGTGTATGCTTTGGCCATGTGGAATGTTGATTGTCTTTTTTCCCAGATGGTTCCTTGGTAAAACTGCTAAAAGAGATTTTATTATTATTATTATTTTTTTAAATTCGATTCTGTGGAGGATTTTGAGCCTTAATTCTGTTAGTTCTCCAATGTTTTTCCTTATCTGAGTCTTTCGACCTCCATTGATGTCTGTGCTATGTCATACAAGGCTGATGTGGATAATGAGTGAATATTTTCATTTTTATTCTTATTTTATTTTACTTTTTGCTTAGACACAAGCGAAGAGGTCCAAGCAAATTCCAGTGAGCCAGTCCAAGTTGAGCAAAGAGGCACGTTGAAAGCACTTTTATAGTTTTGTTTGTGTGAATGTCCATTTTGCTGAGTATATTACTACTTTTAGAAAGATAGCATTATCCATATTGCCATTTTTTCAGCACTGGCTTTTTGGTTTTCAGTTCCAGTGAAAGAGAAGGAGGGTCCGCCTCCAGAAGAAGAAGATGACAATGAAAATGAGAAGAGACATTTGAACGTTGTCTTCATTGGTCATGTTGGTAAGTCATATGTGCTCTACTTGCAAGTATATAACCTTATAAGCAGTAAAAAGAAAAAGAAAAAAAAATCTCATGTGGTATGGTTGTTCATATATGAGGAAGTGTTTGATTTTCTGGTTTTGTTTTAATTTATTAGATTGTTGTGGCTGTGTCATAATTTAAGTGTCTATGTTCTCATATCAACCTTAACAAGCATCACCAGACTTTTTATTTGTTAGTTTTTGTTTATATTTTTTCTCGGGAGTGGCAAATTCATTAGGTAACTTCATTCCTCCTTCTTTTCTTCTTGCGGATAGTGATGTTGACTAATAGATCTCTTGTTGAGTCAGTCTTTCATTTTGTTGTTTGATGGTTTAACAGATGCTGGTAAGTCCACAACTGGAGGCCAGATACTTTTCCTTAGCGGTCAGGTTGATGATCGTACAATCCAAAAGTATGAAAAGGAAGCAAAGGACAAAAGTAGGGA